GTGTTTAGGACACTTTCATAAGTTACACTTTCAACTTGGCAAGTAACAAGTATTAACCTTTATGGTAATTCCTTTTATCCCCACCGGTACCACCTCCCTCAGTCAACCCTACTTTTCTTGACATTTCTGAGCGGTGTTTTTATTTTTGGCAAATAAAACAATTACAAACATAGGAAAGCATTATGTCAGTATCATGAAAAGTACTTAAAAATCCTATCAACATTATTGATGTTCCTTTTCTGCTTTAACTTGTTAATGGAATGTATTGATTTTTAAAAATATATTTGACTTATTCTTTCCTTTCAGGAATAAAACTATGCCTGGTATAGCATAGCATTCTTTGACACATTGCTAGATTTTCCTTTACATGTTTACCTGTAACGAGACAGGTCCATGGCCATGTCAACGACCGTACCTGTTATGTGCTGCCACTACCACAGTGTGATGGCTTTTTATAAATTAGCAAGAAAACCTCACTAATTATAGCAGAGTTTATATTACAAGCTGAAGGAGATCTTTACTACTCATAAGAATACTTCTTCTATGAACCAATAGACTGATTTTGTTTTTTCAAATCTGGCATATATTTTACATTTAAGCTGATGTCCAAATTTTTAAAATTATTTTTGTCTTATATTTTAACTTTACCTTATTTCTTCCTCAAGGAAATACACAGATATGAGATAGTTAAAAATAATTTGGCTCCTGTACTATTAAATATAATTTCCACTTCTTGATAAGCCTCTTCCACTGTTTGCAGAATATGATGGTAATTCAGGATATACGTCATACTACGGAATTTCAAAGAAGATAATATCATTCTTTATATTTCAGGGTCAGATAACACTCATGGATGTTCCAGTATTCAAAGCCATCCAACCAGATGTGAGTAGTTTTAACTTTTTCCTTTAAATACTGAAAATGCTCAGCTGTAATACCCCAAATGATGATGTTTTTTAGAAATGTTGAATTACACTTCATATTAATATAAAAAATGCTTACAATGTAAAAATGTAACTTGCCCATATGTTTTCCAGGCCTCAGCTGAATGCGACGTCTCTAGTGTTCATTGAGTCACGAACCCTGTTTGCCTTGAGTTGACTCGGGTTCACAGCTATACCCCCCCACACACACACCCTTGGCTTTGAAGTCTTTTTCATAGTACGGTAGAGAATAGATAATGGTTTTGCAACTCACTATAAAAATCTTTTCACCTGCTACACCTTTAACTTACTACTTTTTGACCATCTGTTGACAGTTTAGAGCGGGTCCTCAAACTTTTTAAATGGGGCCAGTTCACTGTCCCTCAGACCCATTGGAGGGCCGGACTA